GTGGTGCGGGAGACCCCCGGGTGCAGAAAGCAGGTGGGTGTTGCCGGCGAGCTCTCTCGTGGGCAGCTCAGGACTTTGAAAGCTGGGCCCTGGAGTTTATAATCTCAGGGTCCCCGGATCGTGACCCAGAACCAGAGCGGCAGCTGGACGCCCATGCTGACCTCACGGCCTGCTGGGGTGGGGGTCCCGGCCAAGCAGCAGTGGCTTAGCTTGACCGGCTGCGCCCTGGCTTGGCAGACAGGGTCCTGTCAGCAGGCGGCCTGGGGGGCCCCGCCTCGGCGCAGGCTTGGGGGAGCTGCCACCGGAAAAGGGTGCACGGCAGGAAGAGAATGTGTTCTGCTCCGTTCCACCGGACCCTTTGGTTAAAGAAGACGCAGAGGGCGTGTCCAGCCAGAGGGGCAGCAGAGGTGGTCTCCAGCCCATGTACAGGATACCAGTCACCTGTCCCTCCACGGACTGCCCCCCATTTGGGAGTTGTGCACCTCAACTGGTCAGGAAGCCAGTGGGACCCCACACACCTGGAGGTCGGCTGTCCCCCAAGCCCCAAGGCTACAGCTCTTCCTCCCGAGCTCTGTCCCTCCTGTCTTCCCGCCGGGGCTCCAGGACCACCCACGTGAAGCCAGGCCTTGGGGGAAACAGCATTTTACCAAAAATAGAAGCAGAGCCTCGCCGTCTGGGCTGCTTCGCTGTGTACTGGGCTTGGATCGGTGATGTCCGTCGTGGTTCCTCTTGCTGGTCAGTCCAGACGGTCTTTTGTGCCGGGTCTGCGTGGGTGGTGGTCAGCCTGCCCCGGGGGGTGGAGAGCACCTGCTTCCGCAACATTAGGTGCTGCTTTCATTTATGTGTTTTTATTTATTTATCTTTTTAGAGAGAGAGAAACATTGATGTGAGAGAGACATTGATTAGCTGCCTCCTGCACGCCCCCTACTGGGGATCGAGCCCACAACCCGGCATGTCGGCATGTGCCCTGACTGGGAATCGAACCAGGACCTCTCAGGCCATGGGGCTGAGCTCAACCCACTGAGCCACACTGACCGGACACATCAGGGACTTCTTCAGGGCAAAGGACCTCACCAGGGACACAGGAGGCTCCCTTGGGGCCAGTGAGGGTGGTGACGGAGGCTGAACACCAAGAAGCAGGGGCCGTGTGGACAGGGCCCGTCCAGCAGGCAGGCAGGGGTCCTTGGTGTCCAGGCAGCCAGGGGCCAGTGTGTGTGTATAAAAGAATGATTTCAGCCAGTGATAAACGGTGTTTGTGTTTTTAGTTCTGTCGGAGAAGTGTCTGCCCCTTTCATGGTTCAGGGCCCCAGCCTGGCGTGGGCTGTGCATCCCGGTTCGGGCCCCAGCCTGGCGTGGGCTGTGCATCTCGGTTCGAGGCCCAGCCTGGCGTGGGCTGTGCATCCCGGTTCAGGGCCCCAGCCTGGCGTGGGCTGTGCATCCCGGTTCGAGGCCCAGCCTGGCGTGGGCTGTGCATCCCGGTTCAGGGCCCCAGCCTGGCGTGGGCTGTGCATCCCGGTTCAGGGCCCCAGCCTGGCGTGGGCTGTGCATCCCGGTTCAGGGCCCCAGCCTGGCGTGGGCTGTGCATCCCGGTTCAGGGCCCCAGCCTGGCGTGGGCTGTGCATCTCGGTTCGAGGCCCAGCCTGGCGTGGGCTGTGCATCCCGGTTCGGGCCCAGCCTGGCGTGGGCTGTGCATCCCGGTTCAGGGCCCCAGCCTGGCGTGGGCTGTGCATCTCGGTTCGAGGCCCAGCCTGGCGTGGGCTCTGCACCCCGGTTCGGGGCCCCGCCTGGCGTGGGCTGTGCACCCCGGTCGGGGCCCAGCATGGCGTGGGCTCTGCACCCCGGTTCGGGGCCCCGCCTGGCGTGGGCTCTACACCCCGGTTCGGGGCCCCGCCTGGCGTGCGCAGTGCGTGGTCCCGGCTGCGGGAGCAGGTCCTGGTTGCTCTGGGAGCCTGTTGGAGGGACAGCGAGTCTCTGGAGGCCCAGCTGTTCCACATTGCGCTGAGCTGAACAAGCAGCCCCCAGGCTCAGACGGCTGCTCCCTGCGTGGCCTGCTCACCCGAGCCACAAGCAGGTGGCCCGGGAGTGGCTCTCGGGGTGGCCATGACTCATTAAGACCATGTTTTCTTTAAGAGGCTAATCTGCTTAACAAGGCCTTCCGGTGGCCGTCTCTCCACCGAGCCTCCAGCTGCTTTGCAGAGAACCCAGACATCGGAGCCGCCGGGTGGCTTAAACCAGGCGTGCCGTGGGCCACCCCAGAGCCCCTGCCCAGGGCTCGGGCCCGGGGCGGCCAGCTTCCCCGATGGCTTTCTTAGCATGTCTGGTGCGGTGGTTATTAGTCTGTTCGCGGCTCAGGTCCCCCTGGCCTCAAACTGCCAGGTGCTGGGGCCCTCGCGGGACAACGGGGTGGGCCGGGTGCCGAGGAGGCCGCAGTGATGTCTCGTTTTAGGACGTCCTGGGGTCGCCCTCAGTCAGGGTCGAGGTAGATAGCCCCGTGCCAGGCGGGGTCCGAGGTGGCTCCGCTGCTCACCCACCCGGCGCCCAAGGACCCTGTCACCTGCCCTGGCCTCCGCCCTGAGCTTCCTCGGGAGGGAGGGGGGTCTCTGGCACAAGGTCAGATGGGGTTCTGGCACCTTCCATGGGAGGGGCTGAGAGCAGGCGTTTGTCCGGGGAACGTGAGAGGAGAGGACGCAGTTTCGGCGAAATGGGGACAAGGATGGGACTTCCAAGGCAACTGCTTTTTTTTTTTTTTTCATTTTTACCTTAAAATTGTGCAAACTCAGCAACACTTGAGGGATCCCTCGGAGCCGCCCTCGGGGAAGGCGAGGGGAGCTTCGGGCGGACCCCAGCCCCTCCGCGGCCGCCTTGGGGCGTCACCTTCCCGGGGCCTCTGGAGACGGGTGGGTACAGTCACTATGTTTTTATTGATTTTTTTTTTTTTTTTTTTTTTTTGAAAGGGAGAGGAAGGGAGAGAGAGTGAGAAACATCGACTGGGCGTGTGCCCTGACCGGGAACTGAACCGGCGACCTCTTGGTGCGTGGGTCGACTGCTCAGTGAACACTGTGCCTTGGTCTCCCCTGGATTTCTGACTCTAGGGAAAATGGGGCACTCCCCCACACTGGGGTCCAGCCTGAGTTGGTGCCCCATTTTGCATGGCCCCTGACCCACACGTGTCGGCTGTATCCTGATGCAGTCACAGTAGGAATCCACGCAGGACCCGCACGCCCAGTCCCTGGGGCCGGGGCCCGGTCAGGGTGCCCGTGGGTCTCATGGACCAGCCCTGGCTGCGTTCTTGCCCAGCCTGGACCCACCTCGGGAGGGAGGCGATCACTAGGCAACCGGGAGTCTGTTTCCCAGGGAACGGATGCGCGCACCGTGCTGTGGATGGCCATCTTGTGTGACAGCCCTCAGCCTCTCCAGACGCCCGGCAGTCGCGTTTCCTGTGCAGTCACTTCTTAATGAGCCACCTGGGTTTCTCGCGACTGTGAGCTCTGCAGACCTTGTCCCGTCGACCCTCCTGCCCGTGCCCGGCGAGGGGTCAGGGTGCTCTTCGCCCTGCAGACACACCCTGGGGGCCCCCGTGTGTGGGAGGGACGCCCCAGCTCTCCGTTTCTTGGAGGAGGGGCCTCAGTGTGCAGACCCCGAGTTGGCATGTGCCCCCCCTCCCAGCTGCCTCCCCAGTGAGGTGCTGGCCATGCGGCCTGTGCCCTGAGGATGGCAGGAGAGGGGGGTCCCCCGGGAGGGACCATGATTGCTTGTGGGCCTCGGGACAGGGCCACGGCACGATGTGTGGGCGCCAGGGCCTCTCAGCTTCGCACTCGGGTGTGTGGTCCCGAGCCCAGGGGTCGGATTGCAGCAGGGCCCTTCAGGAGGGTGCGAGGTGGGCCGGTCACACGGAGGCTGGCTGGGGCCATGGGAGCCCGTCACGCCTGGTGCCCAGGTGGCCACCAGAGATGAGAACCGGTGGACATTGTGCGGGGGGAAGGACGCAACAGGCGGAGCCCGGCCGGGGCAGTGGCCAGTCAGTTTACCTGGACACCTGGAAGTGGGGGTGCGTGGGGAGCCCTTTGTTCTCACCTGCCATCTGCAGTACTGAATGTTTCTGATTTCACGAGACGCACGGAGTCGCCCCGTCCTGGCCATCCAGTGCCGGGGTCCCTCCCAAAGCCCAGAGGGTGGGTCGTAACTCGACATGGGGTCGGCAGTCAGGAGGGACCCACAAGACCCAAGGTCGACCACAGTGTGGATTTGAGGGGTGGTTTGCTTGGAAAGAGGCTGCTTCTCAGTCACGGGGGAGGAAGTGCCCAGGCTCCTGCTGCCTCCTGGGCGGTGTGTCCCCCTGTCCGGCCGCCTCCTGGTGTGGCCGTGCCCAGAGGGCACACACCTGCACCACTCAGTCGGCACGGGAACCCTGGAGGGTCTGCCCTGTGCCCCGGCTGCCTGGGTCTGCTCTGGGCCCCATGCCTGGGAGCACTGTTCTCTCTGTGGTCCTTCGGAAACATGGGAGCTCCCTGGATTCAGGGACCTTGACACAGCCCTGCCCTCGTTGCACCCCATTTCCCGTTGCACCCCATTTCCCGTGTGGAAGGGCAGGGTGCTGGGGAGCAGGGAGGGCAGTGCTCCGGCCTGAGCGGCCATGGCCTGGGCCTGGCTTGTGGTCCGGGCCGCAGCAGTGTGGCCTTGAACGGGTCCCTTTGCCCGAGGACCCCATGGCGACGGAGTCAGGTCCACCACACTCCTGGTCGCTGCACGAGGTTGCCATCTAGGCCCTGGGTCCCACCTCACAGGCCCAGCAGGCAAACGGGCATCACAGAGATACTCACTCGGTGTCCTTGGCTGGGCCCAGACCCATCCTGATGGCTCCCGGGTGAGCTGTGCTCTGGTCCCGGGACAGCCAGGGGGGAGCAGCTCACAGGGCCCTGAGGCAGGTGGGGGTGCCCTGGGCATTGTCCATGACAAGGACAGGCCACTGTGCCCACCCACCAAGCCCTCCCCTCTCGCAGGTATCCGCCCCCAGATCATGAACGGCCCCCTGCACCCCCGCCCCCTGGTGGCACTGCTGGACGGCAGAGACTGCACCGTGGAGATGCCCATCCTGAAGGACCTGGCCACGGTGGCCTTCTGTGACGCCCAGTCCACGCAGGAGATCCATGAGAAGGTGGGCCCGCCCGTGTCCACCCTCAGCTCCCCCGCTCGTCCCTTCCGTCCCCCCCACATCACCTCCTCCGGCTCCCTCTGCACCCAAACCCCCGTTGGTGACCGGAGCCCCCCGGCAGGTGCTGAACGAAGCCGTCGGCGCCATGATGTACCACACCATCACCCTCACCAGGGAGGACCTGGAGAAGTTCAAGGCCCTCAGAGTGATTGTGCGGATCGGCAGCGGCTACGACAACGTGGACATCAAGGCTGCGGGCGAGCTCGGTGAGTGTGGCTGGCAGGGCCTCCTGAAGCCGGACCGCCCGGCCCTGCCCTGCAGAGGGGCCGGCAGCCTGGGAGCCCGTGCCGGGCACGCGCCCAGGGCTCCTGGGGCAGCTCTCCGAGGAGCCCGCGCAGGCCAGCAGGTGGACCACTGCCCGGCCCTCCTCCGCCAGCCCTTGCCAGTAGGGCGGGGGCGGGAATGTCCGGCTGGGGCCACGTAGGCCCTGGAAACCAGTACCAGCCAACGTCCCAGCCTCAGCAGACTGACCCTGACCAAACAGCAGGGTAATGTTTAAGTTGATCGTTTTGTATGGCCCGCAAATGACACAGTATCCAAATGGCCCTCCCCACCCGCGCAGGAGGGGATTCCAGAGACGCAGCTGCTTCCCACAGCCCTGCTGGGGGCGCCCCGTGACAGCAGCAGCAGGGGCTCAGGTCCCCGGCTGCCCTGCCCTCTTTGGGAGGGCACAGGAAGGCCCTAGGCAAGCCCCTCTGGCCACCATGCTTGCTCTGGTCTTGAGATGGGGCAGCTGTGTGTGTGTTGGGGGGTGTGCTCTGCTCTGCCTGTTGAGCAGAGGTGCCCTGGCTGCACGAGGCTGCTAGGGGTCCCTTTACGGCCCCCAACCCTAAGGCTGTGCTGCCACCCACCCCACCCGGGCCAGCCTTTCAGCCCCACCAAGCTCCAGGGAGGGCTGGATGAGCAGCTGAGCGTGGCTGCTGAGGGCGTGACTGTCGCTGACCGCCTATCTGGAGGGGTCTGGGCAGGAGCAGGGTGGGGGGCTGGGCCCGATGGGGCCTGTGAGACCAATAGCTCAGGAGACGGACATGGTTTTTCTGGGTCCCCCTGGCGGGGTTCCATCATCTCAGCCCCCCTGGGGGACGATTTGGCCGTGCACAGGAGGAGGGGCCACCCCAGACCAGACCATAGACTCCACCCCAGCGCGCCTGCCCCTGGCCTGGCAGGACCTGGCCCCCCTGTCGCAACAAAGGAACTCAGAGGAGGAGTCTTCAGGGGCGAGTCTTATATAAAATAAAATGTTCCGTTTCCCCTGGCACCAACAAGAACGTTTCTGTTTGAAAACAGACGTTCTTTGTACTGAAATCTAAGCTCCAAGGCAGCAGGTGATGGTCTCACGCGCCGAACGAGGTGCCCCAAGCGCGCTTCCCTTTGCTGCCCGTGCCTGCGCCCACCCTCCAGGCGGCTCCTGGCAGGGCCCCGGTGGCGTTGCCGTGGGGTTCCCTGGAGGGAGCAGCCACTCCTGTCCAGGCGGGACGGAGGCCTGGGCGCGGGGCTGTCCCCGGGGCCCTGCAGCCACGTGGGCGGCCAGGGCCCACAGCCCTGAAGAGGTGCATTTTCTCTGTGGCATTTCCACTGATCTGGGTCCCATCTGATAAGGGAGCTGCTTGGAGAGACATCTGCTGGGCCGGTCTGAAGGGCGGCTTCCCGATGTGGAGGCTGGAGGAGACTGGACGTCCGTCCAGCAGACCTTCGGGGCTGAGGGCACAACCGCAGGGCCTTGACCTGGGGCCACGTGTCAGGCCCAGGGCACCTGCGCCCAGAGGGGCAGGCGACGCCAGCACCTGCGTGGGGGGCCCAGCGCTCCCTGCGCCTTCCCCGCAAGCCGCTGTCCTGGGGTCCGGACTGGTCACCGCAAAGGGCAAAGGCACTGATGGGGAGAGGCTGTGCTGGGCTCAAGCCTTGGCCCGTGGTGGCTGCCGGTCCTGCTCTGGTGCTCGGCGCTTGCCCTGGGGCATTGGGAGAAGCGCCCGGGGGTGGACCGCGCCCTCGGACAGGAATGGCTGAGAAGGTTCCCCTGGGGGGAGGGTGCAGCGCCCTCGGGGTGGACAGTCCCTGCTGATGCCGCCCTCGGTCCTGGCTCTCCGTGCAGGCTGTGGGCCCGGGTCCCTCACCCAGGGTCTCGTCCTGTCGCCCAGGGTGCAGCCACCCTGGGCCTGAGCGGTGGGCACCGTGTGCTGGGCGCCGTCCCAGCCGCCCGAAGGGTTTCCTCAGGCCTCTGGCACCTCCGTCTCTCCAGCAGCAACCCCGAGGCTGCCGTCCGGCCCAGACTCTGCTTGGTCACAAGGAAGGAGGCCCGTGTGGGTGTTGACACGTGGTGGCTTCCAGCTCGCGGGGCCCGGTCCGTCCCGGTCTCACTCAGTGTGTGTCCCCCGCCGTCCCTGGCCAGCGGGCCGGAGCCTTCGCCGAGCTAACCCTCCATGCTTCCCTCTGAGCCGCCACCCCGTGGCCGTCCCTGGGGAGGCCCCTTTGCCTCCTGGTTCCCGGCCTCTGCCGGGTCCTCACCCCTCCGGGCTGGAGACACTGCCTTGTTCCCCAGCACACCCTCCCTCCCGGCAAGGCCGAGGCTCGCCCTGAGCAGCTGCCCGCCTGGGGCGCTCCTGTCGCGAAGAGGTGGGCACCGGGCCTGCTCCGTTCGTTTCCTGCCGGAGGAGGGCGGTGGCGAGGGCGCGGTGTGTGGACGTGGGGCTGGGCTCTGTCGTGGGCCCCGTCTCGGCCCACATCGGGGTTGAGGTGCTGGTGTCATTTCTGTCTCCTTTTTTACAAACAAGCCGACACTTGTTCGTTCCATTAGGCTCTGAAAGGACCCAGAACAGAAAGCCAGTGTCCCTCACCCAGCCCGGGAGGGGGTCCTGGAGGCGCCCTGCACCCTGGGCTGCTCTAGGCCATCACCCCGCCGTCCCATGCATGGCAGGGGCCCTGGGCTGTGGTCGGAGCTGGCCCTCCAGCTAGCTGCCCACTGCTCATGTCCCAGAGACAGGTGTGAAAGCACAGGGTGGACAGCACGTGGGGTTAGTGGGGACTCGGGGTGAGCCACGTCCTGGAGGGAAGTGGGGGGCGGTGGGTGTAGGGGCTGCAGGCCTGAGCATTAGGACCAGAGTCTCCGCCCCTGGGTGACAAGCAGGCCTCACATGTCCTGCCTGGTCTGCCTCCCTGCCCCTCAGCTGGCTGGGCAGGTCCCAGGTCTCCCCACAGAACTCGGGGTCCTCATCCCAGGCCCACCCTTGTCCTCCCAGGGATCGCCGTGTGCAACATCCCATCGGCGGCGGTGGAAGAGACGGCGGATTCCACCATCTGCCACGTGCTCAGCCTGTACCGGAGGAACACGTGGCTGTACCAGGCCCTGCGGGAAGGCACACGGGTGCAGAGCGTCGAGCAGATCCGAGAGGTCGCCTCGGGGGCAGCCCGCATCCGCGGGGAGACGCTGGGCCTCATCGGCTTCGGTACGTGCGGCTGTTCTGCCCGGCCCCCCGGGGGCGGCCCTTCCCTGGGAGCTGAGGTTCCCTGCAGTGGACAGAGGGCCAGCGCCCGCCCACAGGGTGAGGTCGCGGTAACGGCTGAGCAGGGAATGGCCCGGAAGGAAGGTCTGGGTTGCTCCTGGAAGAACGGGTCTCGTTGGGGGTGCTGGGCAGCAGGAAGGTGCTGTGCCTGCCAGGTGCCCTGGGCAGAGGTGCTCTGTGGGACCATGAGCAGGCTCCGAACTCGAGCAGAGTGTCGGTTGAGTGGAAACCTGGGCAGTGGGTGAGACCCGGAGGCCTCCAGTGCCAGGCTGGGGTGGCAGCGGTGTCCCTGAAGGGTGTCAGAGGTGGTACGGCCAGGTCATCGGCTTGGAAAAGCTCACCCGCAGGTGGCTGGGCTGTCCCAAGGCGAGGTGCAGCTTGTGGCCGTGGAGGACTCGGGGCAGGTCTCCAAGGCAAGACCAGCCCAGGTGGGAAGCAGCCTCCTGTCGGCCACGCGGGCTTGATCTCTCCGCCGAGATCCCGACCTGGAAACTGGCTGCTTCAGCCTCAGCCCGAGCTGCTTCCAGGAGGCTGACCTGTGGGGCCTCTGGGTGGCCTGGGGCCGCTGGGAGGAGGCAGGAGCCGGTTCTTCCAGGAGCGCACCCCTCCCCGGCTCCGGGTCAGAGTGCAGCGGTGGTCACGCTCAGGAAGCCCCGGTTCCTCCTCCTGCAGGGGGCAGGACTCCAGGCCCAGAGGGATGTCTGCGTGCTGAGCGCCGCAGCGCCCTCTGCTGGGAGCTCCGGGTTTCCCGCGCTCTGGGAAGTGGCTCTTACTTGGATGGTCCTCAGACCCGCAGCTTGGGCAGGGGCCTTGGGTGGGCTCTGGCCAGGACACAGGGCCTCGGGATGTGCGTGGCCTGGTCACGTGACGGCAGGCCTCGCTGGCAGGACGCTGCAGTGCCTTTGGACTCCACCATCACAGTGAGTCCTTCCTGGGGTCACTGCTTTGGCCGTGCCCGTCACCGTCCTTGTTTTTGGAGGACCTTTCCAGTGCATTGAGGCCAGTCCTGCGCTGTCAGCACTGCTGACTCAGACTGGGACCCGGGCACACGCTGCCACCCTTCCAGGCCTCCCCGGCCTTCCAGAACCGAGGCAGAGCCCCGGCGGCAGCAGAGCCCCAGGTGGGCCGGGGTCCCAGGCTGGGCCCCTGTCCAGGAGTTCAAAGGGGAGGCCGGCCAGTGGGAACGGCATTGTGCAAAGGCTGTGCTGGGCACAGAACTGAGTCTTTGGGTCTCACGGTCTCACGTTCGAGTGTGCTGAGACGTGGAAGTAAGGACAGCTCGAGACATTGGGGGAAGGGGCCTTGCTGGGCCTGAGCTCCTCGCAGCCGCGTGACAGGGTCCTTAGTCCCATATTCCACGTACATCACAAGGGGACCGGGTCACTCTGAGGTTCCTCCCCTCCACCTGTCACCATCCGTCACACCCGCTCCTCCGCTTCTCCACTGGGGTGTGTGGCTGTGGGCCCCCGTTGCTGGGTCAAAGGGGTGACCTGCTGATGGCCCTGCGGCTGTGCCTCTTGGCACGAATGTCCTTCACCTGTGCGGGCAGGTCACAGGTGGTGGCTCAGCAGGCGGGGGATGGTTCACCCAGGCACCCTCGGGGTTTCCTGTCGGAGGCGGCTGTCTTGTCCTCCCTCCCCGTACATTTGAGCACTGGATTTAGATGCAGACTTATTCTGTGCTCTTCCCAAGTCAGCCCGTTCAAGCATCCAGCTATTTTTGTTTTCAAGTTGAAAACTGTTCTGGGGAGCAGGAGGGGACCCGGGGTTTGTGCAAATGGCCACTGGGGGATTGGGGAGGCTTGGTGTCCTGTTAGGTGACACTGGTTTCTACCTTGGAGGCCCCGGCAGCGGGCAGGAGGGGCAGGAGGCCCCACCCTTGAACCAAAGCAATGTCCGCGGTGACTGGTGCTCGGGCCGGATAAGGGCTCAGATTGGTTTGGCTCCTCCCTCGCGCACCGGGTGGTGATGAGAGCGTTCCATCAGACGCCGAGAGCAATAAAGACGTGAAGCCCCGGTGAAGAAGGCCATGGGCACAGCACAGAAATGCACATGGAGAGAATACTGTGATGGGCAGGGCTGGGGGAGGAGCCTGCAGTTCCCTAGGAAACAGCTCTGGTGGCCAATAGATATGATGAGCGCTGCAGCCTCGGCCAGGAAGCTGCCCCGGTGAGACCTGGAGAGCAGTGGTCGTGGGGCAGCAGCCTCTGGTTGGTCCCCCTGCCCCTGGGGACGGCAAGCACGGGCCGGGGTACCCGCTCACCTGCACACTGTCTCTCTGCACAGGTCGCACGGGGCAGGCTGTTGCTGTCCGAGCCAAGGCCTTTGGATTCAGCGTCATCTTCTATGACCCCTACTTGCAGGACGGGATCGAGCGGTCCCTGGGCGTGCAGAGGGTCTACACCCTACAGGACTTACTGTATCAGAGTGACTGCGTCTCCTTGCACTGTAATCTCAACGAGCATAACCACCACCTCATCAATGACTTTACTATAAAGCAGGTAATTGGGAGCAGCCACCCTCGGACGCTGGCAACTTCTGTCAAAATGAAAGGGGATGGGAAGAGTCCCCCCAGGGGACAACAGAGCTGGCGGACGAGCAGGCCTAACCAGACCTGGTCTTCAAGACGGGTCCCACCTTCCCACCAGTCTCCAGCTGCCGCCAAACTCCACCCCCACCCCAAACAGCTGCACGCGTGAACAGCAGACCCACGGGACGCCCGGTCTGCTGCCGCCGTCTTCCAGCCTCGGCGCCTGCGCCTCCCACCCGAGCCTCTGGCCAACGAGCCTCTCTTCCCTCCCGCAGATGAGGCAAGGGGCGTTCCTGGTGAACGCGGCCCGCGGCGGACTGGTGGACGAGAAAGCCTTAGCCCAGGCCCTCAAGGAAGGCAGGATACGAGGGGCGGCCCTGGACGTGCACGAGTCGGAGCCTTTCAGGTGGGCCTGGAAGGTGGTGCGGTTCACACCTGGTCCCACGCTGTCTGCGACGCCTCCCCAAGGGGCCTGCGTAGGAAACGAGACCAAGCCACAGACCCCGTTCTTCTCAGGACTGGGGTTTCTCACTAAGCGTACAGGGGCCGGGTCCCCACGGGAATCAGCAAGGGCAGGCAGGAATGGTATGGCGGGTTGGTCTACTAAGTGTGGCTTCTGCCCTCGGGCCAGCCCTGCACAAAACCACACTGAAATTGCCTGGCTACTGTGGCTCACTGGTTCGCCGGTTCGGTGCCCGGTGGGGGCAGTGCCCGGTGCCCAATGTGGGGAAGGGTTGCAGGGGGCAGCTGGTCAATGTTCTCTTTCATCAATGTTTGTCTCTCTCTTTAAAAAAATCAATAAAGAAAATACTAAAACTGCACTGAAGTTGCAGAGCGGCCCCGTGGGAGCCTGGCCCAGAGCCTCGTGGGCCAGCGGGCCGGGGAGGGTGTGGGCAGCTTTCTCATCGCTGCTTTTACCTCCGTGTAGCTTTGCTCAGGGGCCCCTGAAAGACGCACCGAACCTCATCTGCACGCCGCACACAGCCTGGTATAGTGAACAGGCCTCACTAGAGATGAGGGAGGCGGCGGCCACCGAGATTCGCCGGGCGATCACAGGTGAGCCCCCCGGCCCTGCTCTGGGCACAGCGGGTCCAGGCCGCGGGGCTTCAGAACGAGGCGGCCCCTGTGTGCATGTCCAGAACCGCGCTGTACCCCTGGGGGGTGGCCCTTCCCCCGAGGGAGCAGGAGTCCGCCTTCTGTCCTGGCTGAAGCCCTGTTGCCGAGCTCAGTGTCTGGGCTCCGGAACCTTCCCCATTTCGTGAGAGCCGCAGGGCCGGCCCGCTGGAGGGAGACGCGCCGTCGGGTTTCTGGCGGTGCAGCTGGTCTCCCAGAAACGCCGGCGCGCAGTGTCGAACCCACTGCCGCCGGACGGAGCACCTGAGTAACTGGGACCCTCTCGCTCCAGGTCGCATCCCCGAGAGCTTAAGGAACTGTGTGAACAAGGAATTCTTCGTCACCACAGCTCCCTGGTCCGTCATCGATCAGCAGGCGATTCACCCAGAGCTCAACGGCGCCACATACAGGTGGGGAGAGGAACGGCGGGGGACAGGAACTTGGGGCTCTACCCCAACCTAAAGGCACCTCCCCCCTTGGTGGGAACCCCTGCCTTGTCCTGAAAGCTCTCCCCAGGCCTCAGGGCCCAGCCAGAATGGAGTCGAGTCCTGTTCGGAAGGGGGCAGTGGGGAGCGCACGGCCGACATGTCTGAGCACGGGGACCCGCTTCAAAGCTCGTTTCGGGGGGAAAGAGGAGCCTGTTGGTGCATCCGACCAGCCAGAGTGTGGGTCCAGAGTGACTACGTCGCTTCCATGCAAGGGGCGCAAGCAGGGGTTTCCCAGGGCTCTCCCCCCAACACTGCTGGGTTCCAGAGAAATAGCTCCTCCCCCATAAAGGCAGAGCTAGGGCCTCAAACCCCGAAGGAGATGGGGTCTTGGCCAGTCCCGTGCACTGTAAGGGGGATGTGTGGTCAGCAGCCCTGGCCTCCACCTCATACCTTCAGACAGACCAGGATCACGGCTCCTGAACCATAGCCATGTCTGAGGGCTCGCAGGATCCTACCCGTCAGTCCTCCTGGGCACCCCCGGGTTCCCGCCCCATAGCACTGAAAAGCCTGGAGGGGTGGAGTGGCTCCCGCAGGGAGAAGCACCACCCCCTGGGCCCCCAGTGTAAAGAGTTTGGCGACAGTAATTCTAAGACACCCTGGGTCTCGTACATAAAAAACTGTATGTTCTGTAGGTGGCTAAGTGCCGCATGTCCCCACACAGCGACTCCGGCCTCCAGGTGTCCTCGGGGACAGGGCCCACTGCCAGCTCGCACCCCCACGCTCTGTGCATGCTGGGCGGGCGCACACCTCGGCAGCCCAGGGAGCCACACCGAGGCCGTTACTATGACTAGCGATGACTTTGTACAGACGTTTCCCGAAGGCAGGACAGAACCCACGCAGCAGAGTAGGGACTGTTCAGTTGTGGGAGAGCAGCCCACTCATGTTCACTGATTGGACCAACTAGGTTTTGTTGTTCACGAATTAGATACCCTGTTTTAGACTTTTTACATAGGTGCCTCCTTGCTTTGGGGGTAGGAAGGTTGGCAGATTATCTCATTAAAAAAGACCAGTAGGCAGAGCCAGGAGCATGGCAACCTCTACCCTGGACTTACCTGGCCCCTTCTCTGTGCTCCTTAGATACCCGCCAGGGATCGTGGGCGTGGCCCCAGGCGGACTTCCTGCCGCCATGGAAGGGATCATCCCTGGAGGCATCCCGGTGACTCACAACCTCCCCACAGTGGCACACCCTTCCCAAGCACCCTCTCCCAACCAGCCCACTAAACACGGGGACAGTCGAGAGCACCCCAACGAGCAATAGCAGAGGATGACAGAAGGTCAGATACACCCGGGACCAAGAGACAGTGGAATAGATGAACTAAGGAAAGGATGGTCTTTTTAACTGACTCTGGACATGCGCACCATTGACATTGCAGTGTTAAGACGCCGAGGCGTGGGAAAGCTGAAGACGCCTTCTGCTTGCGGAGGCCCCGAAAGACTAGGACGTGACTTATAACGACCAACTTCTGTTATTGTGTGTTAAGTTTTTCATCTGTGCTTCAAATCACAAAGAATAAATAGATCTTTTCCCTTATCAGTCCCTTGGGCACAGCAGGTCCTGGACTCCTTGCTGTAGAATGTTGCGTCAAGAATTCCAAACATCAAAATAAAACATGTTGAGAGGCAACCCCCATCCTGTGACTCTGGTCCCTTCGGTCCACGGGGCTGGTTGCCTCTTTCACTAATAGGAAGATTAAATCGCTGCAAAGCGGAGAACCCTGTCTGCCTGTGTCAGACAGCTGACCGCAAGCACAGGACGAAGACCGCCCGCTTGTAGACAAGTCTCCCACCGGACTGCACACTGAGCGGGCGAGCTGGTTGTGAGTTCAGTGATACCCTCTATGATGCAAAAAAAAAAAAAAAAAAAGTATTAAGTTTCACAAGCTGTTTGTACTCAAATATATTTTCTCAGTTCAGATCCTCAGCTATTTTATTGAGTGGAAAGTCTTGAACTGAAAGGGTTCGAGAAGAATAATGTTGCATTTCCTTATGTCTCAGGAAACACTTTTTATGGTAACTTGTCAGATTGTCTATGAACAAACCCACTTTTTTAGACATTGATAAAGTCTTCTTTTCTTCACGTGATATTTTATACAAGAACACGTCAGGTGTGTTATTAGATGTGACTGATTTTAACAAATCCTATTAGATTTGTATCAACTAGTTACATGTTATATTCATAGTCTTTTGTGAATCATCGCCTTTTTGTTTAAAAGATGGCCTATTTTGAGCCTTTGTATAGGTACATTCCTGTTTTTGTGACAAAAACCTTTAAAACTGTCCCAAACAGAAAAATGACGGCTGTCAGAAATGTTTTGTTTTAGTGAGTTACCGTTACTGTATTTGTCTGTTGTAAAGGTGGACATTTAGCGGTCAGTGCAGTTTTCAATAAAAAGTAATAAAAATTTCTGTTCTGAAATTCAAGTCCATCTCACCAACGTAGAGGTTCTCTGCCGGAGATGTGGACAGGCGACGCACCCCAGTCGGCAGCGCTCCATCGCCGGCCCGCAGCCAGAGCCCGCATGCTGACAACGGCTCGTGTGATGAGAGTTTAATTGAAAAGTCAAAACCTCACAGAAGTCCAGCATTAGCAAATCATGCCGTTCTTAAGATGAAACTGTGGTTTAGAACTAAGTCAGTTCAAGAAACAGAATTGGTCAAGTCCGAGAGTTGATTTTAATTGACTCAAAAACAAAATCACCTGGCTCAAGCATTATTGCAGGAAGGAAGATGAATCTCAAAATTCTTTCTTTTAAAACAATATTTACAAAGAAATGTTGCAAAATAACATCAGCCATTTCCATATGTGACGAACTTTTAAGTTGACTTAACGGATCTCCCTTGTTAAACAGCATCGAGCCCCTTGGTGCTAGTGGCATCTACTGGGCGATGCGGTCCAGCAGTGGCCGGCGCGCCCTTCCCTGACCTTCCCTCACTCTTCCCTTACATTTAAAAAGAAAATGAACTTTATGGCATCTAACACATCAATCTCCCGGCCGGTCGTAAGGTAGTGGTCCCACCTCGACGCTGCCAGGAAACGTCACGCTGAGAACCTCGCAAGGGTGGAAATGGAGCGCACGGTCCATGGGGGTGACAGGTGCACAGAAAGGAGATCCCCTCCCCCCAGGAACAGCAGGATCCCCTTAACACAGACCTAAGTCAAACAAGAAGGCAAATCCATGGTGCACCTGGGCTTTAATTAGAACACAAAACACCACACTGTATTCTCCCTAGAAAAAGAACCATCAAGTGAAGTCCATACAGTTTCGGTGTTACTGTCCAGTCAGCCGAAAGACACACACACGCCTGCCACCCAGCCACATGGACGTGAGCTGGGGAAGGACTGCACACCTCGGGGAAACAAACATGGCTGTTTATAGTTCAAGAGCTTAGCAGGGCGCCGATTCACCCCACAGCCTCACCAGCCAGCCTGCCGGGAGGCCGTGGAGCCCCACCTGTGTGTGGGGCCTGGGATAACGTGATCTACGGTTCTTTCCCACAGGGAAGAGCACTGTACCCATTAAACTAGATGTAGAGTCACTGATCATAAATAAATAAATAGAGGCACCTCGGGGGGACACGGCAGCCCACAGGCTGCTACTGGGCAGGTGACCCTCTGGAAGGCGGGGACTACAATGCAGGCCATGGTGACCGGATGCTCTGACCTCACACACTTCTTTGGCTTCTTTGGTTGGGAGGGTAGTTTCCGCTCGCAGCCACTACAACAGGGTCTCCGCCCACTAAAGAATTATTCAGGAAGTCTGAGAGATGCTTTAGTCAGAATGGCAGCCTGCTAAAAAAACTTCATTAATTACTGACCAAAATAAAAGCAAACCACAGAAAGTCAATTTGTAAAAAAAAAAAAAGCTAACCACTTGGAACAGTAACATTTACTGTTCTAGCATACTGAAACCCACTTCAGTGGACTCCAGCTGCAGGCTGCTAAGTGACCTTTCACCCTGGGCACACTGACAGTGAGCATGCAGGGGCAATGGAGACAGGACATCTGGGCACTTTCTAGTTTTAGTATTCAAATTCAAGGTGTGCACATTTCAATGCCATCTGAACAGAACTTAGAAGAAAACGAGAAGCAAATATTTAAAGGTTTTCACAGCCTTTTCATCAAAGGGAAGGAAGTGTGTGAGTGAGTGTGTGTGTGGTTGAGCCTCTTTCCAAATCCTTGGCCACGTCAATGTCTACAAAGTGCTTATCAGGACACTAAGTCTTTGTGGTCCTGAGACAGGTCTGAAATCTTTACCCATATTGAATGTATACCTGAAGTGGTCAAATTAATACTTCTTATAAAAAGTCTCTCACCTAAGATTATAGTTTTAACTTTAAATAAGAATGGCCACAATTAACCAACATGCAAAAATTCTCATACTCCTCACTGAGAAACTCATTAATACAATGCATTTACACCTTGCGTTTCAAACCTTTATTCCGCACTGAGCTGACATCCCAGCCCGCCCAAGCGAAGGCCTTTCTAACACTCTGCTCGAGGCAGAGCTGATGGAGGACACGGCCCGCGGGCAGTGCGGGCAGCGGGCCCAAGGCTGGCAGCTGCGGCAGGCGAGCTCCGGCACAGCCCTCGAGCACGGCCCTCGTTCGCGTCCGGGGAGAACGGCTCAGGCAGAGCCTGCTGCCCACACGGCAGAGAACCCTCCTTTCACGGGCATTCTTCCAAACAAATAAATACCTAAATACTGAGGGGCATAGAAGAAAAACAACAAAAAATAATCATAGAGACCAGAACAAGGGAACAATGTCTATATGACGTTCACTCAATAAAAAACTTACTTTCCCATTTTATTGGGCACAACAGGAACTAAATTAATAAAATAAGCTTTTAGGTTTTGCTGTGGACAATTTGTACAAAAATTTCCTAAATCTCTAAGGAGTTCTAATGCGACAAGAAATAGAATGCCAGGTTCTACTTAAAAAAAAATCTCAAAGGAACAGTGTCATCTGCCATGTGCTTCTGGAGGTGCCCATGCTGGAAAAACTTCTCAGTGATATGAAGATGCTGGTACAACTTTTCCTATTACACAACTTCTTACACAACCACATGCGTTACATTTATAGACAGATTTACGGTTTGAAAGGAAAAGAGTTCTGTCTCAGTGAAATTAGTTTTTTACAAACTGTAGTCAAAGTTCTGTGTCCTCGCTCGGCAGGCGCACCGCTCCACTGGGTGTGGATCAGAAACCCCTCCGGGCAGGTCCTGCTGGGCTCCTGGGGTCCATGCCATGCACTCCACTTGAAACGCCACACTGACTTTGGGGTCACCACAGAGCCAGTACCTTGGTCTTCTGCTTCGATTGTTCATTCATCTTCATCATCCTCATCTTCCTCTCCATCAGACAGGGATGTGCAAGGCCGGATCTGCCGGTAGCGGTCAAGCCACTTCTCCACCATCTGCGTGACCAGGGGGTGGTTGCGCCTCCGCGAGCTCTTCTGCATGGCCACCAGGACGCCGCCCTCGGTCACGCAGCAGTCCAGCCACTCGCGGAGCAGCTTCTCCTGCTGCTCCTCGTTACCTAGCTTCAGAGCGAGTGCAGAAGGGGAGAGAATACGGCAGATCAGAGACTCAACAGGAGAAACTAATAGAAACCTACAGCTGGTATCCCTGATAAAAAGGCCAAAGCAACAAACTGTTTTAACATGTTTCAACCTCTCATCAGTTGTGTAATTAAAACCCAGCTGCCTGTGGTCAGACAGAAAAACATCAGTAGGGCGATCGGCACAGAAGTCTGAGGGAAACAACCTAGTAATCATCTGTCTGATACAATGTTGTCTAACAAATTAATCCTGGCAGAGAAAGCTAAGAAAAGTCACAGCTTCGAACACAAAGCAAGGTAAGTCTCCTTAGTAAATTACGTACAGGCTAAAGCTACAAAATTTATGGTCCGTGAATTTTTCTTAATGTCGTTATAAACGTTTTATACTCACTAGCATGATAAATAAAAGCAATAATTTCGTAAGAATACAGGTTTCTGAAGAGTGCTCTTTCGCATCTCTCACACCTCCTGCCTGGTCGACTTCCACCCCTTCCTCCCCGATCTGCACTGGTCTCTCCTACCTGAAGAGGTTCCTGCTCACACCACTGCCCCGGTGTGGAGTTTCACCGAGCAGTGTGCCCAGGGCTCATCTTCTGGGCAAACTGGCCCTTGGCATCCCAGCACACCCAGAGTAAAACCAAAGCTGTAGACCATGATGAACCCCACCCTCACCGTGCCCCTTTGCCCAATCTCCAGATTCTGACGATTTCCTTCTCCACTGTGAATCCAGGTGTCACTTCCTCAGTAACACCTTCCCCTTACCACCTTATTACAATCGGAAACCCCAGGTCTCCCTGCATCCTCCCATCCCCCTCTGCTCTCCCCACACAACACACCCTACGCTGCAGCTCTGCCCAGGGTCTCAGACAGTGACCACTGCTACCACCAAATTTCACAATTTAACGAGTACCACGCCCTGGCCCTGGCACAGTGTTACCACTTTAAGTAGTTAACAGGAGAAACACGCTTGGCTGCTTACCTCCTGGGCAGAAAGAAAGTGCACGTGGAGTAACTTCCTCTCGCTGTCAACCAAAGGCAGAAAGGTGATGGTGACATCGTCATCGGTGTTCAGGTTAGCACCAGCACCTCGGTTGCCATAGCCATCATTTTCCATGGCAACCAAAGCAGAGAAGTGGCCCCTTGTATAGCCCAGAGCAATTGGACTTTTCCAACAAAAACTCTGTTCCCACAACAAAGGCAAATACACACCTGGAAAGAGGGAAGAAAGGAATTGGACTTGCAGGCTATGTCTGCACACTGCATCATCATCATCAACCAAAGACTTCAAATGCACTCTCGATTAATGGCTCACCTTGAAACCGAGTGTATCCTAAAGTTTCTCCCCGGAAACTTTTGTAATACTTTACTCCATAAACTATAATTGGTCGTCTAAGAATATGTGCAAGTACAAAAATGTGTGTCTGCTCCAAACTTGCTCCAGGCTGCACAGAACAAAATAAAAGTAATTTCTCTTTAAAACATTTATTACCACACCCTGGAAAACATAAAACACAATGCCACCTTCCTTCGGTATACTGTCTCAGTGCATTTCAAATAGATACAGAGTCAAGCTAAAGCAGCATATGATTCCTCAAACAGCCAAGTACGATGAAGCAGACAAATCCTCCACTATCCAAACTCAAGAACCAAACACATCTGGTGAATACCGACCTCAGGAACAAGAGATTTCAGACGGCAAGGGATTCTTGATTCATAACTGCCTTCCAGTTAAGTTACCTGTGAAAGTACTATCTACAAGGTCCTCCTGCAGTAAAAAGATGAGTTTTGTTATTTCCTACAAACCAAATGGCAGCATCACCTAATTCAAAAATACAAAACAGGTCTACCTTCCCCTACACTGATTCTGACAACATATATTCAGAAAGTACATGCCGTAGCTATAAAACACCCCATCCTATACAAATCATTTATGACAGTTCATTCCCAAGTTCATTCGAAATTACTCTCGTCTATGGCACCTCCTTGGCCTGTGTCACGTGGAGAGAGCCTCACCAATGGGGAGCCTTATGAAGACCTCGACTTGACAAAAGAACGCCACCACAAGCTCGGTGACCTTGGGGAAGTCTTCCCCCGAGTAGGAACTAACCTGTACATAATTAGAATAGGCACAGCCACCTTTGTCAGAGGACAACATAAATGAAAAGCAGCCCCAACAAACATATAAACGCTTAGAATCAGTACAGCACTTCCGTTTTGACAGCATCTATCACTAATAAGAAACATGCACCCCCCGCTCCGCAGTGAGGACTTGTACGGTTACAGGTTGGTCACACCGCAGTCGCAGTTCGTGGAGGTCAAGGGTGCGGGCCAGGTGGCACACTGCTTACGGAAGCAGCACACGCTGAGGCTGTTTTACCTGACTAGCGAGAGACAGTATAAATGCCCAGTCTTCTTGCCACTGTTCTTCCCGCAAGGAAAAGTGTAAACCAAAGCTCTGCGAATACCACGACTCCCAGTCTTTCCAGCGCGTGTAAAACCTAGAAGAACAAGGCAGTAAAAAATAAGCCTTCTATAAACAGGATGTTTGATGTTCCAATCATTTATTTAATGTAATCTTGAAGTAATTCATGTGAAAAGATTAATCTTATTAATGTTGCCTGGCTTGTGATCTATTTTTCAAATTAAAATGCTTCCACTTGCCCTGGCCAGTTTCTCAGTGGTTAGCGCATCAGCCCAGGGACCACAGAGTTGCGGGTTTGATTCCGGTCAAGGGCATGTATCTCGGTTGTGGTCCAATCCCCGGCCCTGGTCGGGGTCATGTGGGAGGCACCAATTGATGTGTCTCTCTCACATCGATGTGTTTCTCTCTCTCTTCTTCCTCCTTCCCCTCCTCTCCTTCCCTCCCACTCTGTCTGAAGATAAATGGAAAAACACCCTCCGGTGAGGGGGCAAAAATGTTTCCACTCTGCTCACAGCCATCTTTCAACATATCCTCAGACATAGTTTGGTTCACCACCCACCAAACCTTCATCAAAACTTCAAACACTAGTGATGAGAACACAGTTCACTTCAATTGTCTACAAATTAAAAAACAAAACAAAACCCACTCAAAATCATCTGAGATGCTGAATACAAAGACACTAACGTTTCTCTCCATTGATGCATGGTACGCAATGCCTGATCACTGTATCAACAGCAGACTGGAAACAGCCCACGTGGTTCATGAGAATATCAAAGTCACTTCCTTAAGATTTCTTGCATTAAATAAAAATTATTTCTCAATGATTATCTACAAAAAAAAAACTTATGTTTTATATTGAATACTCCCCTAAAAAGTTCAGCCTAATAATTTATGAAGTTTGAAAATAAAACTGGGTCATTGATAGATTGAATTAGTAAAACAAAATCTATTATCGTTCTTTATATCAAGTGTCAAATTAAGCAAAACCAGATATAATTATACTCAAAATTATGATTAACAGTCTTACAAAACAAGCCAGCAAAGACCTCCAAAATGAAGACATTTAACCTGTAACAACACATTCCTTTCTTTCATAAAGAACTAAAAGTCCCGAGTACTTTCCTTTTCTGTATATGAATTCTAGGTAAAAGATAAAAAAACAGCCCGGCCGGTGTGGCTCAGTGGTTGAGTATCGACCCATGCAATAAGAGGTCGCAGGTTTGATTTTCAGTCAGGGAACATGCCCAGGTTGTGGGCCCGATCCCCAGTGGGGGGCATGCAGGAGGCGGCCAGTTGATGTTTTTATCTATCTCTCCTCCTCCCTTCCTCTCTCTCTAAAATAAAGAAAAAAAATTTTTTTTAAAGATAAGAAAACATTCTGGTGCAATTGTTGAAAAGTTTCAGTACAAAATAAAAGTTAAATGTGTCAGTGTTACAAGTTTCTTTTTTTTTTTTTAATCCTCACCCGAGGACATTTTCCCATTTTTTTGTTCAGGTAGAGTGGGAGGGGGAGAGGGGAACAGAGAGAGAGAGAGAAACATCGACGTGAAAGGGACACATCGAGTGGCTGCCACCCGCACGACCGACCAGGGCCGGGGACAAACTGCAACCAAGGTACGCGCCCTTAGCGGGAACTGAACCCGGGTCTCTCAGGACCACAGGCCGACGCTCTAACCGCTGAGCCAAATCGGCCAGGGCACAAGTTTCTTTACAGTAACTTAATGGAGGGCTCTGTAAACAGTAATGTATTTTAGATTTTCTAAAAGGACTATAACAGAATGTTACAGAGGTTTATAACTCTTGGTCGATTAGAAAACAATTCTTCTATTCCAGGTAATCAAGGTTTTTTTTTAAATCAGGAGTGTAAGTTTCAATGTCAAATGTTTTATAAATAAAATATGGATATCCCTTTTTAAGAAACACACAAAAAATTTTTTGAAAAGTTCAAGGAGAAATATCACAAAACATTAAAAGTTGTTATAAACCAAAAGATGTGCGGTTAGAAATTTCTTGGTTAGTGTCTAGAATCATTTTATAAATGAGATCACTAACTCTGCCAGAAATTAAATGATGAGTACTCATAAGTCCTGAAAGAAGACTGCAGAACAAGGAAGCTCAAAGCGTTACTTTGAAAGCAAGCACGTTCAATAACATGCCCACCGCACAAAGACCTGAACACTCTGAAACTGCCTGGCTCACTAAGGACAGACAGCCAAACCAAGTCCAGGGACATACAGCCCAAGTGGGGCAGCAATACAAGTTTGGCTTAACATTCAAAAATAAATCCTACGTGCATGGGTTATAAGACTCAATATCATCAACCTGAGAATACTCCCCGACTTAATCTACAGATTCAGTGCAATCTCTATAAAAGTCCCAAAGGACTTTTTTGTAGACATTGATAATATCGATCCTGAAATTTATATGAAAACCCAAAAGATTCAGAATAGCAAAGAGAATATTTGGGAAATAGATAAAGTTGAAAGACGTACATCCTGATCTCAAAACTTACCACAAAGCTACAAATCATCAAGATAGTCTGATGTAGGCAAAAGACAGACATACAGATCAACAGGAAACAAAACACAGTCCAGAAACAAACCTTTACTTTCATGATCGAACAATTTCCAGCAATGCCAGGGCAACTGAATGGGGAAAACAGCAGTTTTTTCAATAAATGGTACTGGACAATCAGACAAATGAAAACAAGTGATTTTGTTACCTCACACCTTAAACAAAAATTAGCTCAAAACAGATCACAAACTGTAAATGCAAAAGCTAAAACTGTATAATTGTTAGACAAAAACATAGGAGTAATGCTTTAAAATTTTACTATTAAAATTTAAAACTATGATTAATATGCCAAGGGCTCTAGTGGGTAACGCAGGCAGAGAGGGAAACCCTTAGAAAGGACCCAGAGCTGCTGGAGATCCAAACCCTGCGACAGGAATGAAGGCCGCCTCAGATGGGCTCGGCACTCACACAGCTGAGGAAAGAGTCCCTGGGCTGGAGGGTACGACAACAGAAACTTCCCAAAATGAAAGCAGAGAGCACAGATGGAAAAAAGAAAAGAGAATTTCAAAGAACTGTGGGACTACAGAAAGAATATAACATGCAACATAATGGAAATAACAGAGGGGGAAAAAGAGAAAAAGTAACAGAAGAAATTACTTGAGACAAAAATGACTGATACTTTCCCCAAACTAATGCTGGACCACACCACAAATCCAAGGAGCTAAGAAAACACCAAAGAGGAAAAAGGCCAGAAAAACTGTACCTAGGCACACTGTGTTCAAACTACAGAAAATGAAATATAAAACAGACCTGGGGCAGAGTCACATGAACTAACCCCACAAGGCAGACCTACACAACCACAATGCCCAGAAACCACTATCACAGGGACAGAGAAAAGAATTACTTCTGACTCAGCCTCAGAAGCCAAGCAAGCAAGAAGAAAATGGAGTGAAATTATTTTTAGTTTGGAGGAAAAACAACAACCTAGAATTCCATCCTCTGTGAAATTATCCTTCAAAGGTGAAGAAATAAAGACTTTCTCAAACAATAATGAAAAGGATTTGATGCCCTACACTTGACTCAAACTAAATGTCTAAAGTTCTTTAGAGAGAGAAAACACATATTTATATAAATCAGAAACTTGGAGCTACACAAGAGCATCAGAGAAGTGGGGTGAAACAGCCTCTACTCTGAAGGGCACACTCCAATCAGGCTCCCATTCAGGCTTGCCAGCCAGGGAGTGTTTTTTTTTTTTTGTCAGGTGTCTACAAATTTTTACTACGTTGCATTATGCTTTGAGCTATAATTTGCTCTCAAGAAAGTAATTATATTGCTCTTATTTTCAAACTCTAGAGAGTACTTTCATTCAATAAGTATTTACTGCATACTTACTATTTGTCAGGCTATTGTAGGCACTAAAAACTAAAACTTCCACAATGAAAGACAACAAAAATCTCTCATGGAGTTTATAGTCTAATGCACTTCATGTAATCCCTAACTACTGACAAAAAAATTTACAACTAGTAAATAAGTGCTCAAAAGGTATATAAAGAAACTAAGGCAATAAAGTTATTTGGAGTAGGCCATTATTATTATTATGATGTAAGCATTCAATTAGGTGTAAGAGGAAAAAAGAAAAAGCACATTTTGATACTGATGTAGGGAAAAGAGTACACATTTTTAAATGAGCCCTGCTACTTACTAACTCCTACAATGGGAAGTTTAATTTAGCCTCTTTCAGCCTCAATTTTCTCATTTATAAACTAAATGACAATGTATATGATAAACCAAGAAAATAGCCTAAGTAAATGTAAAGAACAAACTACTGATTCACAAACAGGCATTGTTTCCAGTGATTGATCCTTCAATGGGTAAATTTATAGTTCAAGACTAGCCATATATTTTATTAGATGCTGTATTGGGAAATAAAAAATGTAGTCTTAAACTACCTGTGCCTCAGGAAGAAAAAGAGCTCACCGTACAATGTCAGCTAATCTCCTGAAGTTGAATGAAAATATGATTTCATAACTACTTTAAAAAATATGAGCAAAGACTGTATTGATGTTTAAGCCTACTACTATAACTCAAATAGTTCTAATTTAAAGCTCAGCAAAAAGGTATAAAAACCATTGAGTTGTTCAAAGTGTCTCAATATCCAAAACCAAAGCTTTTCCTTCCCTGATTTCCACAGCAACTACACCAGACGCAGTGCCCAGCACTATGGGGAACAGACTCAGCAAGTGCACTTGGAACTTAAGAAGCAGGAGGTGCAGCTCACCAATGTGAACAGTCGTGCAGGCTGTCATGCAGGGCTTTCCGAAGCACCGAGTCCTTGTCGTAAATGCCCCAGGTCGCCTGCAGCACTGAGTCAAGTAGGCAGTCTCCTGCGGTCCGGTTCCAAAGTGCATACAGTCGACTGTCCAAGCGTGTAGCCAGTTCCAAGGACCAGTTTATAATTGGAGATTCTTCTTCTAACTCTACATGAGGAATTTAAATAGCATGTTCATTTTCACACCTATGCAATTAAGAACAATTCAGTGGCCCTGGCAATTTGACTCAGGGTTGGAGCACTGGTCCACAGATTGAAGGGTCGCAGGTTCGAAGGTTCAATTCTTGGTCAAGGGCACATACCAGGGTTGCAGGTTCAATCCTCAGCCCCAGTTGGGGATCGTTCAGGGGGCAACCAATCGATGTGTCTCTCTCACGTCGATGTTTCTCTCTGCCTCCCTCCCTCCCTTCCATTCTATCTAAAATCAATGGAAAAAATATCTTCAGGTGAGGATTAACAAAATCAAAAATTCAGCGGAGGAAAGAACCTACTCAAGATGCTAATAGGTGTACGTGTAATTTACTAATAGACATCTAAATAAATCTGTCAATTAAAATATAAACCTTCTGCCCTGGCCAGTTTGGCTCAGCGGTTAGAGCTCGGCCCGCAGACCAAAGAGACCCGGATTCGGTTTCCGCTAAGGGCACGTACCTCGGTTGCAGTTTGTTCCCGGCCCTGGTTGGGGTCGTGTGGGTGGCAACCAGTAGATACCCCCCACACACACTCTATCTGAAGATAAATGCAAAAAAAAAAGTAAAATATGATAAACCTTCTTAATATCTGAAACGGCTGTGACTCTAGAATGATTTACTGCGCTTTTAATTTCTTTACAATTAATTTTCTAAAAATGTTTAATATGAGAATACACTCAGTTTAGAACAGGAAGTAGAAAACCAGTCTAAAAGCTTTGATACCTTTATTTGTTCACTAAATCACAGTAAAGAGCCATGGGTGTGCATTTTCCCCAGTTCTACTGAAATACAATAACAGAATGGGGATTTTTTAAAATGTTTTGATTTTTTTTTTTTTTTTAGAGAGGGGATGGGAGAGAGAGAGACAAAAATATCGATCTGAGAGAGATGCATTGACTGGCTGCCTCCTGCACGCCCCCTACTGGGGATCAAGCCCGCAACCTGGGCATGTGCCCTGACCGGGAATCAAACTGGGACCTCTCAGCCCATGGGCTATGCTCAATCCACTGAGCCACACCGGCCAGGCCAGAATGAGCATTTTTTTTTTTTTAATACTCACCTGAGGACATTTTTTCATTTTTTGTTCAGATAGAATGGGAAGGAGAGAGAGAAAAAGAGAAAGAGAGAGAAACATCGATGTGAAAGGGACACATCAAGGGGCTGCCACCCGCACGACCCAACCAGGGCCGGGGACAAACTGCAACCGAGGTACGTGCCCTTAGCGGGAACTGAACCCGGGTCTCTCTGAACCACAGGCTGACACTCTAACCGCTGAGCCAAACCGGCCAGGGTAAGAATGATCATTTTTAACAGCACAATATGACATTCTTCTTAAGGGCTTTACATTTCTAATTTAAAGTAAAAATAAAACAAGTTGACCATACACTAAACTACTGCAAACCAAATTAAACTACTACAAAACAAAGAGTTTATTGTAATCAATGAAAGGTAAATCACACTCATTGTTCCAGCCTACCTTTTTGAACATCTCTGTCCAGCACCTCATCAAACAATTTTTCTTGGACTGTTGGAGGCAAGTCTTCAATATCTACAAAGAACGAGAGTCTTAAACGATCTTCCTATGTCTCACATCAAACCACCATGATGAGCACTTCAAATATCAATTACACCTCAGCCAAGATGAAACAAAAGGACAGAAAAGAATAAGGCCATCTGACACTCAGGTCAAGGCAACAGTGAGTACAGGCAAGTACGTGTCTGTTCTCTTCCCACACTCAGCCTCTGCTCAGGCCTGTTACCTTCAGACTTTAGAATCTTCTTACAAAAGTTACTGAACCATTAATTTTGGCACACAGCTCTCTGTTTCTGTCATCTTCCTCAAATTCTCTATGCTATATTCAGTGTACTATTTGAGTAAAAAACATTATCCTTAAAAAATGTTTCTAATGTTTTAAGCTATGTTCAATGCAAAATAAAAATCTAATCATCAATTAGGGTAAAGCTTAAATACAGGGGTGGGAAAAGTAGGTGAATGTACCAGCATCATTACCTGAAAGATAAATTATATGTAAGGGTACAAAATAATAACAATAAAAAGAAAAATAATACAAATAAATAATACAAGAATTAATAATACAAGAATAAACTCTTTCGCAGACTCACAACTGTAAACCTGCTTTTGCCAACCCCTGTATATAGAGAATATATTTCAAGTGAAATCTGTCTAATTTTAAAAGGCTAAGATATTATTCCCACCACATGCAAATGATCCTGTTCACATCTGAATATAAAAGCTCAAAACACTGAAAACCAAGATGGAAGATTTATTTTGGAAACGTGTGGTGTTTAATGCATTTTGCCAACTAACAAAACCATCTAAGACATTTCCCAATTATCATTGAATTAAAAAATGAAAAGCTGCTTTACAAATACAGTAGAAATCAATGTAATAAGAAAGTAATTATACTCTCAAAAGAATACCAATATTCAAACAACTTGATTCTATCCATCAAAAGCCCATGTTCTAATGCTGTCTCCATATGCCATATAACCAATAGCTCCCTAATTTCAAAATAATTGGCATGAGAAGAAAAAAAAAGGAGACTGATAATATTTTAAAATGAGACCAAAGGGAAAAATCAATGTGTTAGACGGATTTTTTTAAGTATCTGAGGCCCACAAAGAAGTCAATCATCAGCTGCCGCCCACTAGACGCAGGGGAAGTGCTGAGGACGGCGCCCTTCCAGCAGAGAGGGGAGCCGAGTCCTCTAAGATGCACGTGTAGTAGCTGCTAAGTCATCTGCATTCTAACTGAAACATTTTCTAGACATATAAAAATAACTGTAACGGGAAATTTGTGTTCCCACCGCAATGTGGAGCTACCTGCTGGCAACGTGAACGTCACAAGGTCCGTGAGGAAGTAGCAGGCGAAGTCCCCCTTCCTCTGATGGAGAGAGGCAGCTATCTCTCGCCGGATCTGCTCGGTCAGCTCAGGACACACCATTGCTGGAATACACTTGGCTGCCTGTTGAGACACCTTAAATACAAAAGACACATGCCTCTGCATCTCACTCGTCGACACAGCAGAGAACAACAGTGTTTAAAACAAATTACCAATGTTTCCCAGTAACTCAGGGTGGCGTTTTGTTTTTAATTTTTAAATATGTTGGGTAGGGTATTATTTCTTACCAGTAGAAGGAAGTAGAACACCATTCCAGGAAAACAGCCACTTTAGCCTGACTCAGTAATTCTACTTCTTAAGAATTTATTGCCAAGGAAATACACCAAGATGCACATGGAAACTTTGTAAAACGGTGGTGGTCCCCAAGGTTCACCGCAGGAAGAGGAGGGAGAAGAGTAAGCGACCTACATAAGACTAACCACGCCCCCAATGAAAGGTCTGTGAAGAGCAGGGGATTCCAGCTCCTGGAAAACAGGTACAACCACTCCCGCCCCCCCCCCCGCCCCGCCCCAGTTAAGAGTGTTTCCAGCACCCTAACCTGGAATAAAGAAAACGCGATGTTTCTCAAGGGGTAGTTCCTGCGGACTGCAAACCCGCCCCACTTTCTATAATTCTGGGTTTGTAGCAAAGTCTCTGGCTTCCCCAAGTGTCGAGCAGACGAAAGCCTCGCAGCGTGGCCTCGAGGGAGGAGACGCGAGCAGTGGCCCAGGGAGCCCACGAGGAGCCTCGGCAGGAGGAGGAGGAACCTGTCTCTCCTTTTTCCATGACCAACAGCAACAAATGATAGTTATTATACATTTAAGCTGTATTCCTTTCATGGAGCTCAACGAATCCGTGTACAGAGAATCTGAATCAAGGGTGAGCATCGCGAGAGAGGAAATGAGTCTGGTGTGACCGTGCGCAGTCGGCTCTGTTCTCTGCTTGTCACTGCGGACTGCAGCCCCGAGCCAGCTGGGCTCCCGAATGGAGGCTTCTAGTCGCAACTGGGTTTTGAGCAGATCTTCCCATTAGCCACCCAAAGAATAAGCTTTACAGATACTGTCACCTACATAGTATGTGTGGACAACTTAACCATACTTGCCATTAAGGGAAGATAACAGCTACTAAAATCCTGCATTCCCAACACAGTCATCAGACGTCATTCTGAAACTCCAACATGAACACCCAGTTCCACTAACCTTGACTGGCCAGGATGACCAGTAACAACAAAATTCTCACGGCATCTTTACTCCATAAACTGTATCTTTACTGACACTCTAATTACAGAAAACCAAATATTAAATATTTTCAGAATTGTCTATTTCACACCAGTGTTAAAATGGATCCCAAAAGTAAAGTCAAAATTAGCTTATTCCAATCTGCTAACCATCAGCCCTTTTCCAAACACCTGGGAAAATTTTTTCCAGAACAACTTGGCCTGAAACCTGAATACTGCAGACATGCCAGAGAAACTTCACAGACGGTGACAGCCTCCCAGCCTTCCCCCTCCCACTGCCACCCTCCAGCGTGACATGTCCCTGAAGCCTCTGACCTCTGGCCTTTCAACCTTGGACTCTCAGCCACCTCCTCAGGCCAGTCCTCAACTCAGGCATGTGAGCCTGGGGAGGGCCCCAACCTGAAAGGAATTCTAATCCAATTTAAACTTTCATTTTCACTGATCTCTTGATTATACTTAAAATGCATTTTCTTGTATATCACAAATTTACCATTTTGATAACTATTTTTCAATATACAGTTGCCCTTGAACAGCACAGGTTTGAACTGCGTGGGTCCACATATTTCTGTAAGAACTGTAAATATATTCTCTTTCTTTGATTTTTCACTAACATTTTCCTTCCTCCAGCTTACTTTATTCTAAGAATACATTATATAATACATATAAAATACAACATGTGTGTTAATCGACTGTTTGTTATCGGTAAGGCTATTAGTTCACTTTTCGGAGAGTCAAAAGTTATACTTGGGCCCTGGCCGGTTTGGCTCAGCGGTTAGAGCATCAGCCTGCGGTCCAGAGAGACCCGGGTTCGGTTCCCGCTAAGGACATGTACCACGGTTGCAGTTTGTCCCCGGTCCTGGTTGGTTGTGCGGCTGGCAGCCACGTGATGTGTCCCTTTTGCGTCGATGTTTCGCTCGCTCTCTCTCTCTCTCTGCCTCTCTCTCCCTCCCACTCTATCTGAACTAAAAATGAAAAAGTGTCCTCTGGTGAGGATAAGAAAAAAAAGTTATACTTGGATATTCACCTGCCAGGAGAGGTGGTATACCCAAACCCATGTTGTTCAAGGATCAGCTGTAACTAATTTCCTTTGCAATTCTATTTATTTTATTTATTAGAAAATTGTTTTGAGCCCTAGCTGGTTTTGCTCAGTGGTTAGAGCATCAGCCCGTGGACCAAAGAATCATAGGTTTGATTCCAGTCAAGGGTATCTCGGTTGCGGTTCAGTCCGTGGCCCTGGTTGGGGTCACAGGAGGCAACCAATCAATGTATCTCTCACGCCGATGTTTCTTTCTCCCTCTCCACCCCCATCAGAAGACAAAAATGGAAAAATGTTCTTGGGTGAGGATTTAAAACAAAATATTTTTTAAAAAGGAGTCCATAGGTTCCACCAGACTGCCAAGCAAACGGTCCATGACCTAAAACCCCTTCCCAAGATACATAACCCCGAAATCTAATGTTGTCCTGTTCTTATCCCCAGACTAGACTCTGTGCTCTCTCTGCAGACATGTCCCTTGGTCCAGACTCAGTCTCTCCTTCTAGTCTCCCTATGGGCCCCTTCAATTCTGTGCTTTCTAGTACCTGTTTCGTTGAGACTAAATTCCATTACCAATTTTGTTCTTTACCTGGAACAAGCCCCTTCCACTTCTCCCATGTTGTCAGGGTCGGTCTATGCATCCATAGAACAGGGCAAAAATGACAGGATGTCACTTCCTAGATTACATTACATATAACTGCTGCTCTCATTTGGATCACCACCCTACACCTTCCTCTCCCCCTCTTGGATCACCTGCTCTTGGTGGAGGGGCCCACGTGACCTGCATTTGAAGCCTCCAGCCCCAGCCCATACTTTGATAACTGCAGCCATGGCCTGAAGTCTGCCTGCCACCTCCCGAGACCCTGAACCATAACCACTCGGCTAAGCCGCTCCCAGATTCCTTATTCTCATAAACGGTGTGAAATAACAAGTGTTTGTTGTCCTAAGTTGCCGAGTTCGAGGTGATCTGGGCACAGCGATAACTCACACACTAGGGTTCTATCCTCTCCCCTGCCCGAGTGCGAGGTGATCTGGGCGCAGCGATAACTCACACACTAGGGTTCTATTCTCTTCCCTCTGCCGGGCCCCAGGTTGCTCTTATGACGCTGCTGACTTATGCCGGCCCCATCCACAACCTATGCACGGTCCCCTACCAGACTGAGGGGAAGTGGGACTCCCTGAAGACTTGAGCCTTAGTTCACAGCTGTGTTCTCTATCCTGTCTCCTGCCACCACCAGTACTGTAACTCCACATGTCAGCCCTGCTAACACACAACACAACTGGGCATCACCATGCGAATTGTAGCCAGGCCTTGGACACTACAGAAATTACCTGTAAGTTCCATCCCGTTCCAGAACTAGGGCCCCTGTAACACATGGCTACTTCTCGAACAGTCTCCTTCTCCCTTATACTCAGGACGCCTGCCCTTTGCCTTCATCATACTGCCTTGCAAGCCTCTCCTTCCTCCGAGTCTCAGGTGCCCGGGCTCCACTGGAGTCTCACCGAACTGAGCACCACGACCAGACTTGTCATCATACTTTCATCTCACCTTCAGGCTTCTAATCCCCTACAGTGCTTTTGTACCTACTGGTTCCCAAATACTGGCACATTTAAATAAACAATATGCACAGGCACACACAGAAGATGTATACTGACAGCATGTGCATCCACAGTTGAGCTGCCTTTCTGCACTTTTACCCTTCTGTCATTAAAAAACTCACCTGGGTAATACCCGGAATAATTCCTTTGCAACCTGTATCACTGGTAACACCTGCCTAGGTATCTAAGCCGGAACCTCAGAATCCCATTGCTCCCCGTCCGGCCCACCCTCACCCACCCACAGGCCGCACCTCATCTCTGACAGCTCTTCTCTCCACCCAGCGCCAGCCACCCCCAGGCAGTTCCGCCAGGCCGCTGGCTCACCCCTCTCCAATCCACAGCAGCCCGAGCACAAGCTGACCTTGTCACTTCCCTGTTCCTCTACCGGGCACTTTTCAAAGCCTTTTTACTGCTCTCAGAATAGTCTTTGAAATCCTTGGCCAAGAAGGTCCTTCGTGTCCGCCCCCTGCTTTTCTCTCAGGCTCCGGCTCTCAGTTCTCAGCCGCCACAGCCATGCTGAGTTACCTGCAAGTTTCTGAATTCACCTCGAGTACCACCACCCTGGCCTCCAAACAAATGGTTTCCTTACCCTTCCCCCACCAACTTTATGCGATTAACTCCTCCTTCTTCAGATCTTAACTAAAATGCTACCTGCTCTAGGTGAGAAGGTAAGGCACCTCAAAACACTCTCTCAAGCACTTGCCCAGGGCCTGGCTCTCACGCCCAGGAGCGCACGTGCTCTCAGCCCCCCAGACCCCCGCTGGCTGCTCCTGACCTGGAGGTCAGTGACGGAGGGGTCGTCTTCACAACCACAGCCCTTTTTAGCACAGTGCCCGGCACACAGCAGGTACTCAATGCATATTTGGTAGTGGAATGCATGAATAATAGATACATCTCATTTTTTTAAGTCAAACATTGTAAGAAAAACAACATCAAAATAAAACAAAATAACACATTTCTGTCCCACAAAGAAAGCTTAACCAACAGGCCGCACGCACCTCCGTGAGCAGCACGGCCAGCATGTCCTGCCTCTGGAAGCGTATGGCCAGGTGCACCAGAGTGTAGCCGACGTCAAAGGCAGAAGGACGGCTTAGCAGGCGCACTTCATCCGCAGTGAGCTGCCGCGCGATGTCCCCTCCTGATGACTTGTACGCTTCTATAGCAGCTAAGTCACCTTCTACAACCCCTGAAACAAGCAACAAGATGGAAAAGAGTTTAATTCTATTTTTCTTCAAAAAAGTATAAACCTGTAGCACTCACTCTAAACTCTAAATGTTTCTCTGTGCTTCCTGGATCCTGGGGCATCATGTAATGCCCCAAAGAATGTAAGTAACATTAGTTTATTCCCCTCCCTGTCATTTCTTTCCAGAACCAGAACTGCCTTGTTAGGCACAGGCACTTACCTTCACATCAGTGCTAGCTCCGCGCTCTTGTGGGGTCAGAGCAACTATTACAACATGTTAATTGGATCAGAGACTGGTAATCTAGTGTGGGAAACTAGACTTCACAGAAGACACGAAGCTCCTGTTCTGGTCCTGACTCTCAGAAACCAAGGACACAGCTTCCCATTGCTACTGGGTGCTTTTGCCCTTTATGCTGCATTTTTAAAGCTGACTCAAAACAAACGCTGAGCCTTCCACACTGCGGTCACTTTGAAACAATTTAGAACAATTAAAACCATTTTCAGTGTTAAGTGAAAGTTAGCAGTATTTTGATTTCAGAACCTCTCAAAGCCAAGTCTTTCCTACACCCATTAAGAATTATTAATATAGCCCTGGCCGGTTTGGCTCAGCGGTTAGAGCGTCGGCCTGTGGTCTGGAGAGACCCGGGTTCGGTTCCCGCTAAGGGCGCGTACCTCGGTTGCAGTTTGTCCCCGGCCCTGGTTGGGTCATGTGGGTGGCAGCCACTCGATGTGTTCCTTTCGCGTCGATGTTTCTTTCTCTCTCTCTGTTCCTCTCTCTCCCTCCCACTCTACCTGAACAAAAAAATGGAAAAATGGCCCTGGCCAGTTTGGCTCAGCGGTTAGAGCGTCGGACTGCGGTCCGGAGAGACCCGGGTTCGGTTCCCGCTAAGGGCACGTACTTCGGTTGCAGTTTGTCCCCGGCCCTGGTTGGTCGTGCGGATGGCAGCCACTCGATGTGTCCCTTCACGTCGATGTTTCTCTCTCTCTCTCTCCCTCCCACTCTATCTGTACAAAAAATGGAAAAATATCCTCGGGTGAGGATAAAAAAAAAAAAAAAAAGGAAAAATGTCCTCGGGTGAGGATAAAAGAAACAATTATTAATATAATAAAACTTGAACTGAATGAGTCTGAACAAAATTGTGCTAAAGCAAAACATTAAAAAGCAGGTAGAGTGATAAAATAAGTATCACCTTTTTAAAATCTATAAAGAACTTTCCATTCCCAATGAACCACACTATTAATCTTAACACAAATTAACATTAGGTGAAGACAGACAGAAATCCTATTTACTAAGCCTTGGCAGCAAAAAAAAAAAAAAAGGTGCTGGAGAGCTTCAAATGTGCCACAAATAGTGTTTAAAAACAAAACAAAACACCAAGACTACAGGACCAACCAAATAATTTTAAGTGTTTCCTAAGTTACATCAGTAAAAATGTGTTTCTTGAGAAAATACTAACACTAATTAAAAGTATTCTTAGTGTATTTTTAAAGGTGTTTTAATTGCTATCTTGGATTAGGAGTTAGGTAAACGAGAGCTATTCCCGGAGTATGAGATCGGTCCGATGCAACAACTTCCCAGTTACTAAAATAACAAAGCTGGGACGTGGCCCCTCAGTCCCATCACTGAATGCCCGTGACTGCACGGCGTCACTCTAGGCATGGTGAGAAACAAGACGGTAAAAATATGATTTCTAAACTCAGAACAGTCCTTTTTCATCACATTTGTAAGCCATAAAAAGCCAGCATCAAAAGTTTCTGAACTCCAAGATCAAAAATTCTTTCTGGAAATCTAGACTCTGTCCCCAGGAAAATGACCCCCGGCTCCAGTCACATACATTTTTCAGGTTAACAATCCATGATATCCCTCAAAGGGCAGGGGGGAGAGGCGGAGGGAGGGCGGGATGAGATGAACCAAAGAACTTCTATGCATATATGCATAACTAGTGGACACAGGCAACAGTGTGGGGAAGACAGGAGGGGGGCGAGATTGGGGAGAAGGGGGTCAATGGGGGAAAAAAGAGGGGACATCTGTAATACATTCAACAATAAAGTTAAAAAAGAATCCATGGTAACAAATGAGAATGCCTTCTTAAAGGCCTGCTGACTGTCCCAGCAGGGGAGATTAATACATCCCTCAAGACAAACACCTGAGTACGGCTGGAACTTCCACGCCCAACACAAAAAGGGCCTTAAAACACCTTTATGAGGCAGTGTCCTGGACAAGTCATCTGGGCTAAAATGTCATTTGGGTGGCATGAGACAAGGGGGATGAGTCTTCTCAAAAGGGCAAGCCTTAAGAACAGACACAGAAAGCACTACTTGAAATAAAAAAGTCTGTGATCAAAGAGTCAACTACGAAAGAACACTAAAATTTCTGTTCAGCTTGTTTTAGTGAACAGGTGAGAGTTTGGTGGACTCCTGACTTGTTGAATAATTTCCCGCAGCTCGTTTCAGAACTGAACTGGGCCTACTGCGCTCTTCCGGGTGCCTGCGTTTCCGTGGGAGGACACCCGCGGTCACTCCAGGCCGTCGGACTCTGCCGCGGCTGCACGCAGCGCCACTGCGCCTTCTTTAAGTGCTCTAAGTCCTGCCACCAGCCACGCAAGGACAAGAAAGTCCGAACGGCTGTCCTGAAAACATGAGACTTCACGGTATCTGCATGAGTGCGTGTGTGTGACACACACTCACATCTATTTTAACTTCCCAAAGACAAAGATGAGGTTATCTAAAGCTAAACACCAACGGATTTCATTCTTTTGGCTGGAGAAAGGGTAGATCTTCCTAATCACAATCTCCACTATTTTTAACTAACTTACCATTTAGCTGATGGATGGGAGAATCTCATCTTAGATATTCTTGCTTAAGAATTCATTTCCAGCCCTGGCCAGATTGGCTCAATGGTTAGAGCGTTGGCCTGCGGTCCTGAGAGACCAGGGTTCAGTTCCCGCTGGGGGCATGTACCTCAGTTGCGGTTTGTTCCCAGCCCTGGTTGGGTCGTGCAGGTGGCGACGACTCGATGAGTCCCTTTCACATCAATGTTTCTCTCTCTCTCTCCTTCCACTCTGATCAAAAAAAATGCAAAAAATGTCCTCAGGTAAGGATTTAAAAAAAAAAAAATTCATTTCCACTCTGACCGGTTTTGGCTTAGCAGTAGAGCGTCAGCCCTCAGACCAATGAGTCTCAGGTTCGATTCCAGCCAAGAGCACATACCTAAGTTGAAGTTCGTCCTCAGCCCTGGTGTGTGTGTGTGTGGGGGGAGGGGGGGGTGCAGGAGGCAACCAATCAATGTGTCTCTCTCACATTGATGTTTCTCTCTCTCTCTACCTGAAGATAAATGGGAAAATATCCTCGGGTGAAGATTAAAAAAGAAAAGAATTCATTTCCTAATGTTTCTGAGGGATTTCTGTAACTAGAAATTAAATTAGCATGGGAGGGGGAGGGGTGGTTTGGGGGTGGAGTACAGACCAAATACCAAACAGCCTGACCAAGTTAGAAGCTGTGCTTTGGAGTGATGATTTACAATGTTACCCAGTCTGCCTTCAGATAAAGTGTTTTGTAAAAATGTAAACAGAACTTCAAATGGTGAATATATATCAATAAAGCTGATTTGATACGTGTGCAATTTCTATTAGGCCTAACCCAACATACCAAAACACACTTACTTAACTACCTCCCCAGCTGAAGCTCTGCATTAAACTGCAGGTATGGTTAGCTGAGCACACTCAGCCTGGAGTAAGAAATGAAGTCAGCAAATGAGGACACACAGAATCTGAATGGAGATGCTATGCTGTTCTCTAGTCTTCACAGCATGAAATTCTCCAAATGTCCCAGAACATGAAAAACACAAATTTAAGTATAAGCACAAAGTAATATTGAAAAGAAAAGCATTTTATTCTCTAATGTTTTGGGAATACATATTCCATTCTTTTAATTAACCATAATTAAAAGCTATAGTTCAGTTACTGGTGAGTTTTCAGCTACAAAGATGAGTAAATTTATTACAAATAAAATTTCGTGAGAATATCACTGAACTGTACACATTTTGGTATATCACTATTACACATCGTTCAAGGGAAACTAGTAATTAAAGTTTAGACAGTTTCCTGATAGATGGATTTTTACTGTATACATGGTGTTCAAAAGGGTTTGGCCCCTACTCAGATAATTTAAACTTTTAGCTACCACATGTTTTCTACTTGGAGTGAAAAACATCAGATATATACAAAACAACTTACAAAATGTCTTTGGGTTCTTCATATAACATTGCATTTCCACCACTTTTTAATATTAGGGAATAAGAGGAAAGTATGGAGGTAGAAGAGTTGGTAGGTAGCAAAAGAGAGCAAATGAAAGTCAGTGGAAAAATCTCACTTAACATAAGAGAACAGGAAACACCAGAAAAGTTCTAGCAGAAAAGAAAGAGATGATGTAGCCCTGACCGGTTTGCTCAGTGGTTAGTGTCAGCCCGTGGTCCAGAGAGACCTGGGTTCGAGTCCCATTAAGGGCACATACTTCGGTTGCAGTCTGTCCCCAGCCTGAGATGGGGTCATGTGGGTGGCAACCAGTCGATGTCTCTCTCACATCGATGTTTCTCGCTCTCTCTCTTCCTACCTCTCGCTCTATCTGAAGATAGATGCAAAAATATCCTTGGGTGAGGATAAAAAAAAAAGAGATGATGTATACATGCTTTCTAGGTTACTGACATCTCATAATACCTCTAAGAGTAACTGAAGCATCATTCTCTTAACAAATGATTTTACACCATCCTTCCCTTCCTCGTGTACACTATGAAGGACAGCTGAAGGCACTCTGAGAAGATGAACTTTCATCAAACTAACCTGCAGTTTCATCATCCATTCAAAACTGATAGAATGAAATACACGACTAGCTTAGTAGCGGTGCATAGTTACAGATAAAGGTGTTAGTATACTTTTAAAAACATGAAGACCTGAGAGTAAATGAAAGATAATATATTATATACTACAAACTATAAACTTGTTTTT